TGCTCCTGCCTGAATCCGTGGACATGCCCATTTTGGGAGTCGAGGAAAGAAACGTTCGAAACAGTGGGGATAGGGCAGATGAAAGGGTCCTTCCTATCGAATTTGGACAAGTGAATGTTTGAAAAAAGTTGAGAATATTACCAGATGGAGCGATCGACTCACTACTGTTAAGACTGCAGGAAGATGGGTAAAAGGATTAAACTACAACCGGGTCATGACTATAGCCAAAAAACGAGTTCAGTGTAATAAGAATCAGTCAAGATAATATAGTTGGCCTCACCATCATATGGGTCACTCTGATATCCCATATATCTCTGACGCCATCAAAATCATCGATAAGAACGGCTTGGTAATAGGGCAACCTTTTGATCAACTGGTGAGGGGAAAGGAAAAAGAAGGTCTTAAAATAAGGATTGCGTTGCATCTGCGTAAATGTACAACCAACCACCGAGGCTAGCCTACGGCAGCAGCTTTCACCGTGTCATCCAAACTGTATAAATCGAATGACCGTGAGTAGTCCTCTAAAATGCATAAATCGAATTGTTTTTCTGTAGGCGCTACACATATCATTAGAGGTGACTACCTGGGGATTTCAGGTGGTGCTAACCGATCCGGCAATAGCTGTACGAGGAGCTATTGAAAGGGCTCAGGAGTTAGCAAAAGTAATTCCAAATGCCTTCATCCCTAATCAGGTACATTCTTTCTGTTCTTAGACTATTCTAAAAAAGACCTCGCTCTGACCTACTTTCAACATTTAGGCAAGCCATCAACACTCAGTATCTCACTAAATATAAACATTTTAATTATAATCGATTTTCAGTTTTCAAATCCGGCAAATCCTGAAGCACATTATCTAACCACTGGACCGGAAATTTGGAAGCAGACAAATGGCAAGGTACTTGTAGAATCTTTTCGGTCTTATGGAGGAATAGTTCATATCAGCGCCCAATTCGGATGTCAGGGTGATGACAGTTCCAACTTTTGTTGGACATAGTATTCGGAAACCACCTATCCGTCAATAAATCAATTTTAGTGGTCTTGAGTTCTTAAAAAACCAATCAAGGAGAGAGAAAATGCTACTCGAGGTGGGAGCCCTCTGAGACAACGGGGCTTATTGATAGTTGAAAAACAGGTTTAATGTGGGGGAATGGGCTCAGTTGATAATTGTAGTGACACGTAAGAATTTCTATCATTGCATTATTTTTGTGTACTCTCGCTGGCCTTTTCAGGTTGACATTGTGTGTTTCGGAGTTGGGTCAGGTGGAACATGTACGGGAGTCGGTCGTTATTTGAAGGAGAAAAATCCAAACATACAGGTGTGTTTCTATCCTGAACAGTGAGAATAGGTCTCTTATTTGCGCTTTTATTGGGATTATAAGTCGTAGCCCCTCCATGGTGATTTAATAATTTTGTGCCCGGAACAATAAAATGAAAGCAGATGTTACAAGAATGTTCAAACTCTCTCGACAAAAGAGTTGACGTTCAAGTGATAACTTCGAATTCGCCTTATAGGCATGAATGGTTTGATGAGTAATAAAACATTGTAAGAAAGGCACAAGAAGCGTGATGTGATATGGAATTCGTCACCATTCACGCTATCCTTAAATATGCTTCGGTCGCGCATGTGGTACAGTTGATGCGAAATTGTCGCTTCGCGGCGAGGGCGACATTGCTTGCGAAGGAGTGTAGCAGATTGAAGCAGAAGCATGGCAGGGAGTAGGAAGTACAGGAATAAAGAAAGTATTAGTGGGTTCAGAGATATTGAATGAAAGAATTAATATTTGCATATTGATCGAGCTGTATGAAGAATGCTTGAGATACAATAACGAGGCAACTGATCTGCGACTGCCGCGTGCGGCGAATCGGTTGCGCAGAACCGATTCAACCTCCCATTTTTGTCATTCTTGCTATCCACGTCTTCTTTGCTCCACGTACACATATGTTATCAGGGTTTTCTTCTGAATGAGAGTAATATCAGCTTGTATACTAACTAGACCGTACTAACTATACTACCTAACTTCAAAATTCATTGACTTTATTATTACGCATGAATGTTGTCATCACTTTCAACCGTATTCCCAAATTCGCAACCCTTTTTCATATCCTTCGCCCACTCCCTCTCCTTTTCATGCAATGGAGGGTACAGCATTTTAGCGAGCCTTGCGGAAAATTCCTGTAGAGAATTTCTTTTCACTTGCTTGACCTTGACTCCCTTCTATTCTCGTGAAGGGATATTCCATTGCGGCCATTTCTGAATCACTCACCAAGGATTCGATTCCTCCCGTAATTCAGAATAATTATTATCATACAGTAGGCTTTGAATCTTGATTCCATATTACAGCTCGTCAGGGTTACAAAGGGTCTCTTATCTTCTCCCCGAACGGCGTGTCGCGCTCGCCCCACGCTACCGCGCGTTGTGAAGGGAAGGATACGAATTCTCAGTGGAAGGATAGAGCAATCGCCGCGGAAACACTGATGCAGGCCGTGGGAATTCGAAGAGGAGTTCCGTCACCCGGGTTAGAAATACGAGGCGTTGTTAAAAGGCGAGACATTGTTAAGCGGTCAGCACAGTTTTTTACCGTACAACATACAAACCATAGTAGAGGGGAGACGGAACTTACGTGCGCCCGAGAATGCGCGCGGCAAATTGCGCGGCGAAGTCCGTGGTGATTCAAACGACTCTGGCGCCTATCATTGTGGCTCAAATTTGAAGTAGAGTAGATTAGAAGGGTCATCTCACCCTACTAATCTACTGTATTTCAAATTTGAGCACCAATGATAGGTGCCAGAGTCGTTCGAATTACCACGGACTTCGCCGCGCAATTTGCCGCGCGCATCCTCGGACGCACGTATGTACCCATACCCATAGTAGAGTGGTATGGTGACATTTTATCAGAGATTTCCATCAGAGTTAGTCATGTATGGCGGCGATTCATGACTTGGTAGAGTCCTACTTGCATTTTCAACGAACTTTGAGATGGAATGAAGGGAAAACTGAGTTGAGAAGAGAATCTACCGGGTTCGTTACTTAAAGGTATATCCTGTGGAGCCGTACGAATCATCTGTCATTAATGGGTTGCCGCACACACCACACAAGATTCAAGGTACCAACAGTTATCCTCCTTCATGAGATCAAATTCAGCTTCCTAAGAAGAGCAATTTTTCAGGCATGGGCATTGGCATGATACCGGAGGTATTAGATCGATCACTCTTCAACGAAGCTCTGCGAGTGCATTCCGACGACGCCATCGCGATGGCGAAACGACTCGCACTAGAAGAAGCGATTTTGGGAGGCATTTCGTCTGGAGCCAACGTCTGCGCAGCTATTCAGGTGCTTGAACGTTTTGAATCGGTTGATTCGCATTTATTTCAAAGCTTTTTGCGAACCCTACATTTTCAGCTCGCAAAACGCCCAGAGAACAAGGGTAAATTGATAGTGACGACCGTGAACAGTTCTGGAGAGCGTTATTTGTAAGTATTTACTATTTATTAGTATTTACTTATGTTGTTAATTAGGTGATCTGACAACTTCTAAGTTTGAGAAATCTCAACAAAAGACGTTCAGTGAGAGAAGAGCCGCTGCAGTCATCAGGAGATGTTCAGAATGGCATCGTTGATGGCTACCAATAACCCGCTAACTACTTGTTGAGCACTTGAGCAGCAGAAACTGTTTGAGATGTCATTCTAAAACTCCTGCGACATCCAATCCTGTTACGAAGAACGATGATTTTTCGATTGAATCCTTTTCGATTAAAACGAGAGAAGCGAGTGCTTTTCAAGCCTCGGAGAGAGAAGCGTTCCTTGATCAACAGAAGCGGCCTATGAAAGCCATATTTCTGAAGGAGATCTCACCGTGACTTCGTGGCAGAATTACAATTGACACGGTATGACTTTCGCAGTCATGCCCTGTCAAGAAACAGCTGACGAATTCAAGAATTAAATGAAATGTTTTGCATATGACCAGAATAAAAGGTTAGGGCGACGGGCGAGTAGATGTATCGCTTTATCGCTGCAAAGTACTCTCTCCCAATAGCACATCGTGGTATCGCGCTGTGAATGCTCTACCAATACTGGTGTTTAGTTCAGTACTTCTGAGAAGAGTCGTAAGCGCTCCCCGTCTGTTAGATGATTTTCTCGTTCAGGTTTGTAAGTGGCTGAACGTTACGCATTGCCTCTTGCTAGACTCGAACAAAAAAGGCTGCTTTCATAGTCCGCCGGCCGGCGGACTATGAAAGCAACCAAAGCGTCGCGCCTCCAGTACCTTTGCCACTGAGTAGGCATACTCAAATCAATCGCATAGAATTCGAAAAGGAATGGGCAGAAAAGGAGTGGTCAATTACCCACCTGATCAACCGGCAATAGTGTACTTACTATCTAAGAAATTCCCTCATAGCTTTGTTATTTGTAATTGAGACTAAAGACACAAATCCATATCACGATGATCAGCGAGAGCACTTTCAACGGTTCGGAGTTCACGAGACGCAGAGCGAAAGGCGGGAGGATGGCCGGCATTAGGAACATTTTTATGGGAGGCTCGTCATGGGCAAAAGTCCGTGACGATCAGATTTTCGTTCGGATTCTCAACAAATATGCTCCGTTGTGAATGGTGCAGCTCCTACAAGGTGTTGAAAGACGGCTAAGCCCTAGTGATGCTCCGATTAAGCCGCCTTTCGCCCCCGCAGTATCCTGTGCGATAATCTTGAAGACCAGAGGTCCGTCCCAAACGAAATTCTTTGAGGTAGTTTTAATGAGAAATTAGGTCTCTACAAGGAGGTGTTCATGTGCTAGTCAAGCAACTTTACATCGAAAACGCATGGCTATTGCGCATCGGACTTTAGCACTAACACAACACTAGACACATTAATGAGACGAATGTGATCAAAAAATAGAGAAGAGCTTCAGCTTATGCTGATGTTCTTGTGGTGGCACAGCAGCACCCAGTCAGTAGGTGGGCAACTCGGAAACGAGTGGCGCTCTCGATTCAGTAAAAGTTCTGACCCTTGATGAAACTTCTGACCCGCCGTTATGGTCAAAAGAAACCTTTTGCTCTCTAATGCAACCCACAAGGTGCAAAAGCTCAACGCCTCTGTAATGCTTGCAGAGGGGATGAGTTTTCGCTACGTACACGTGCGATGCAGCCTTGACTATCAGGAAAGGTATCGAAGCATGTAGCACCTCTGTGTACCACATGTGGCGCTACTTGTTCGGAATACAGCTTAAAGAGGGAATTATAAAGGTTGAAAGACTGCTCCGTATGTATCCTCAGACGAGTTTTATCGGTCTTGTAGGGGCTGCACCAATCATCGCAGAACCCACGCAAGAAGTTCAAACAACTTATCATGATTCATAGCGATAGTAGAAGGCACATTTGGACAGCTTTAGCTTCATGTAGTCAGCTCTTTCCGCAGTTGCAACAGCTGAAATCTCGTTTGAATACCCCTTCCATGTTACTCCCCTCATAGCAATCTCGTCCAACCTCAACTTTCACTGCACTCGAAGCGCCTTAATTTCCTCGAAATCGGCGAAATTTCTTGCCTCTTCACTACCGCTGAACTACTCCCAAACTACACTTCCGCTTTTTGCCTAAGAAAGGGTACATCAAAATTGCCGTGAACTGTGCCTTTAAGCCCACAGGTTGTTTTTGATAAAACATCATTCGAAGTATGATTACTTCAGGTCCTCAGCATTGTATTCAAATCTACGCGAAGAAGTGGCTATCATGGACCAAATGTCTCTCGAGGAATCGATTTCCAGAGCAAAAGCGTACTTGAAAATTTGAAAAGCTTTGTATAACTGGAAGAGTTCGTAACTGCCTTAAGATACTAGCAGTTTTTTGTGACGAAAACTTAAGCATTAGACTTATCTGAGCGACGATGAATATTAATTGGAGTTGCCTTTGTTGCTGCTTCACTTTTCTCATTTAAATGTTTCCCACAATTGTTGTCAGCATCCTGCTGAGGAATGAAAAAATGGAACTTGAATTGTACTTATTTATCACATACATATTGCTCGGAGCCGGAATGTGTGTACAATCACAAAATTTTCGTGGGTACCATTCAGCGAATTTCGGTGCGTTCTCAAAGACAAGGAAATCAGACAGAGTCAGAGGCAGAAGAGGCCATCATTCAAGGAGTCGAGTGTTCTTTCTTTTGCGAATGATTAAGCGATTTTGTTAACAGTGGAACAGTGTAGGTGACTATAGGAATATTAAAAGATTAACGTACATCTCGTCCTCCTCTCAGAAGTTTTATGGGAAGCTTCGCATTTTTTTCTGCGCTAAGTTGAATACCCATATTACTCACCGTTCGGTGTGTGTAGGTCGTGACATCTAGTATAGGTTTCGTTGAGACTGTTCAAAGTAGGGCGAACGAGAACAAAACAAAAAACAAAAGCAAAGACAAATGACGGCCAGACGAGCAAGCAATGCTTCGAAGAGGGTTCAGTACAGCTGATCGATCACCCTCACACTGTTAAAAAGACTCACTGATGTATAGCGAGAGTACAGGATACCGTAACGTCTGACGTTCATCAGTTTAATGAAAGTTTTTAATACATCTGGGCAGAAGCAGAGATTGAAGTACTGGGAGGCCATAGCGTTCGTACTCAATACATTAGTATGCTCAGGAGCCCTACAACATCTTCATCACCAGGATGTCGCCATCCTGTAACGAAGTCATCATCAACGTGAAGAGTGGGGTGCGACAGAGCGGTACCACCTCGCCTTAACTATTCAGTGTACCATCTCCGTTTTGCAGGCGACATCGTGCTTATAACACTGAACATCGAGCAGGCGGAACGATTGCTGGTCGAGCTTGACAGTGCTTGTGGAAAGATCGGCTTAAGACTGAACTTACGAAGACGATGCTCATGAGAAACGGACCCATAGCTGGTGCTCCCTTCACTTTGGAAGGAACTATCATCTCTGAATGCTCTAGCAATGTGTATCAGGTCGGAAAGTTATCATGATAAAGAGTCCCTCTAGAGGTGAGCAGAAGGAAACGTAACGCGTCCGGAGTCTTCAATAATACCGAAAGAGTAGTGAAAAAGACAAAAAACGTTCGGCTCCGCACTCACATTTTCTACACTGCCGTCCTTATTGCTTCGGAGACCTGGTGTCTACGAAGGCAGGATTAACATGATGTTGGCGTCACTCAGGGTTGCCGTTGCAAGAAATCGAAGATGAGGTGGGCCACGGTGGCTACTGACTGGATCCCTCGGACATCGAAATAACACCGTGACAGCCGCCAGCGCGATGGTCATACATCTTCACGAAAGCTCTAAACGATAGGACTGCTCTGCCTTGTGTTCCTGAAGCGAAGTGGATCTACTGCACCAGTCTAACTCGCGACGGGGACGATTGGAGAAATGACTGGCGCTCTGTATCACCCGTCGTCCCGCTCGAGGAAAATGATGATCAGCGGGAAGACAGGTAATACAAATGATTCTGATTCATTATTAGAAAGCTCGCAACGTATATATCGGCCACCAGCACCAACACACTCCTGACGCTAAATGTACATATTTGACAAACCGCGTACTTCACGGTGCCCGCGACGTTATGACCATCTTCTTGCGTGCCCTTCATGTTTATTAACATGTCGGGTGAGTCAAATCATAATATAAGCAAATAGATTACAACACCGGAGGTATCGTCTGTTTGCACCTTTTAGACCTCAACGAGGATGACGAAGACCGTCGCTTCCGCACGGTCGTCATGATCGTTTAGCCACATTGCTTTCCTTCTCGGACGACGTCACCCTACATGACATGCCATGAGACAGGATGGGGTCCCGGTCGCCACCGAGTAATCTTTGTGGTAGGTTCGAATAGTTTTTTTCAAATCAAAGTCGCGCACATCGAGCCCGAGTTTCGTGTTAGAAAACATAACATCCACTGTCGCTTCCCAATCATATTATTTTCTTCAACACATTCTACAGCGATTAGTTCCGGCGGCTCAGAAGACACCTGGCAACGGCGAGATCGAGCTGGAGAGTAGATTCGGTTCAAGGACGAGAGGACAACGTCACCATTATTCTTACTGCTGAAATTCATTACACTCAGTCATCCGAATCCTTTAATCCGCCAAGTCCACGCCGCGACAACTCACTGTAGACACGCAGGACCTGCAGACTCTCTATGCGCGATTCCAACGGAGTTCTGCTTACTGGACTAGGCCGACAAGTTATACGCTGTCGTTTTTCAAAAGTCACCATTCCTGAAGTCGGGTCCATTCCTTTCGGTAAATGGGGATGTGTGACCGTAGCGCCCTCACAAGCGCAACTCAGTGTTCTAGTACGATGACTCCAGAAATGCTTTCAGATCGTGACAACGGCTCCGGGAACACCTACTGTTAAAGGAAAACGACCAGCTGCCTGAACAGAGAGCCTCGCATCCAGTTTCTGTTTTCCTTGGGAGGAAGCTCTGCTGTGTTCAAATCTACTTAATCCATTCGAAGTATAGATCAATAAACACCACAAATAAGAAAAAAAAA